ATAGAACCAAGAAACAATAACATAGCTATATTATGCAAATGCTAATCGAATTGCAATTGGACAAAACATCAGTGTGTATCTCATGGTTTTGATAACTGTGCTCTTAGAGAAATTGTTCTCGTCGGCATCGTTGTTAAGGTGGAAACATCAATGATTTGAATGGGAAAAGGACACAAGATTAATGAATGAATCATCTAGATTATATGACAATTAATTTAAGATAAGATATATTAAAGATCTAATTAGATTTTGATGGTGGAGTCGGAAGGGAAGGTTGCTGCCGAGTTATGTTGGCGACACTACCGTAGATGGCAGCTTGCTGTCGTCGGTGGTACAATAAGGCGTGATAGCCCCTGTTGAAGCCATCGACCACTCGGTATAGCAGCGGGATTGGTAGGTGTCACAAGAGAGGGTGGCATACGACAGCAGCATAGGGTTGTCGTAGATGAGGCACAATGGCGAGTAGCGGACGGTGGCCTCCTGTGGTTGCTGGCCCTGTCGGTTTGCGGTAGCCCTGTTGAGGGCGACGATCACAAGCGGTCGCAGTAGTGTTTTCTAGCCGTGGTTGGCCGCGACGTTACATGAAGCATTGACGTGGGCAGTTCAATATGGTGGTGGGATACGATGATGGAAGCGTCGCCCGTGGGTGTTGGATGTCTCGGAGGGAGGAAAACATGGCGTTAGGAAGGAAAGATCGCTGCATACACTGGTCGCGATAGTGGGTCGCACGATCGTGGTTAATGGTGCCGTCGTAGCGCTGATATGGGTCGTGACCAAGTTGATGGGGTTACCGGTGGCTGCATGGCTCGCGGAGCAGGGTCTTTGGGCGCGATGTTTGGCCACTGTCGAGGGCGACAAAGGCATTGGCCGGAGGTTGTGAGTTCTGGCAGTATTGATATGCTCCAACCGACGATGACGAGGCGGCATCGGCGCAGCACCATTGGCGGTGACAAAAACTGATGTGGCAGTCGCAATGTTGGGCGGGCGTCGCCTCACAATGGCGCACGGATGGCGGTGCACAGATGCGATGCGCAGTTAGCGAGACCTTTGGCTTGACGAGGATGGCCATGTAACACGGATGTTGCCGTAAAGGATCACATCATCATGCGTGGTGGAAGAAATCAATAAATATTTGAGGAATGAGATAACTCATGTTGTTTAAGGATATATATATATATGAATGATTGATAGCACTATTTCAAAAATAATATATTGATCGAAAGATTTAGTATGTAGTTTTCATCAATAAATATTTTACCTATAATCAAAAATAAAAAAAATTCAATCTATTCTAAAAATGAGTTAGCAAATAATTAGATGAATAATATTCATGCATAGTTAACTCAAAACAAACAAGTTGGATAGCTATTAGAGTTATATTGGATTAAAATATTAAAATATTATTAAAAAAAATATTTGTAAGTGATAAATGATTATATACTCATATACATGACATCATATCAGTATGAAATCATAAGATATTCAAATGGTAAACGTAAGAATTATCTGGATAATAGGAAGTCCATTTCAAGATTTATATTTATGTTAGTTAAAGGGATAATTTATTTATAAAATATAATATACTATATCATTATATTATTATAACTGATTTCATGACATACTTTGAAGTCCTAATCAAATTTTGTAGTTGTAAAATTTTATCCCAAGTCGTTAAAGATATTTTATCATAACACCATAGTAGTTTGCTTCTCTAATAAGATAATCATTTTAGTAATTCCAATCAAGATAAAAATACTTAGTGGTTAAATAAAAAGTCTAAAAATAACTAATGTCAATTGAAAACCTGAGTTTTATTATATTAATTGTTGATCCATTCACTAAGACGTTAGTCTAAGGTATTTAAGGAACATGTTATTAAAGTTAATTATTTATGTTATTATATATATTAGTTTATTTTCTAAAATTTATGATGTCATATAAAATATTTTTCAAAAATTTTAGAATCTAATCAGGAAAAATTATTAGTTAATAAGCCAAGTGAGAGAATATTAGATTATATGACTCAATTAATTTAAAATAACATATTAAAGATCTAATTGGATTCTAGTTAAAATTATTGACCAACATAATAGAAATCAACTTATGTTTGGAAATCTTATGAGTTAACCTTCATGCGAGCGGGTTTTCTAATTATCTTTTTTTTAGATCTTTTGCTATCACCTATTTAATGATAAGACTTAATAGGGAATTACTCATTATAAAATAATAGAGATATCTTCTCTTATCTTCCAATAAATCCATATTCCATAGAGGAGAAGTGTCTAGCTACTTTCTACTTTTGTAGATTTATGATGTTATTTCATTCAATTAGTTAACAGATCGATAGTGTGTTAGACAACATCCAAGGTGCGGTATGCACAACTTCCTACAATATTTATGATTTCAACATTGATATTAATTTTTTATTATAATTTTATACTTACACAGTTGACTTATGTCGTCACTTTTGTGGGCTTTTCATGGCACATTCCATGTGATAGTTTAAAGATAAAGATTTTCTTCAAATTTAGTTGTGTATATATATATATATATATGTTGCATCATGTTCTTTACTAGCAAGTGTTCATGTACAACTTGTCATTCGAAGTGATCCTTAGCACTACAAATAGTTAAAACAGAAATCTACCTATCAAATTCCTCATTTCCAAGTTTTTTCACGGAATCATGGAAATAAAAGTTGTTCTATCTTACAATCTTTGTGAATTTGGTGCAAGCTAGCTCTATTGCACACTTCTTTTCTCAGTAACATAACTAAAATTTGCATGCATAAGAAGTTGCTAAATATCACATATTGGGCGATCTAAGACGCCCAAATCAATTTGCAGAAAGTTCATTTATCTATTGTTTGAGAACAATATAGATTTGTTTTTTTTTTCGCTCTTTTGGGAAAACATGAATTTGTGAGTTTATTTTATTTTATTTCCTTGTAGAATGACAACCCAAATGCTAACATCTGTGCATTTTCATGATCACACAAGAAACAAGAGGAAGAGAGAAAACAGATGGAGTAGGAGGTGATGGCAGCCACTCTCTGACACTTTTTGTAGCCCACAGATTACAGCATGAAGTCTTCCATGAATAATCACTTCCTGCTATGAGAAGTTCCTCTAACGCAAGTGATGGAATCTACCTAACAGATAAGTACAGCTGATGTGATCCACAACTTTAACTGGGTTAGTAAATATTTTTATATATCTTAACCTAAAACATGTGTTGCTTGAAGACTAAGAATTAAAGGTTGATTATTCATAAATCCTCTATATATCTTAATGTTTTAAGGAGATTTGGACTTGTTTTGATAAGCTCCAGAGAATATGCTCTTCCTTATATTTTTATTTATTTTAGTGAAGAATTTAAGGTTATGATATGATTAGAATTGATGGTCAAACAAAAGTGGACCCATGGAGCTCAGTCAGCATATCACAGCTCAGTGCATGGAATGACAAAGCTCCATCTAAATATGTTTCATCGGCATGATATCTAATAATAAGAATATTCTTTAGACGTTCATAGCTTTGATTTGTGTAAAAAGGAGGCCACTCCAAGTACACAAATGGTGACCACTAACTCTCCCCAATGAATCCACGAGTCTTGATGCACTATTGACTTAATCGTCGAAGGAATCTTACTCAACACGCCTCACCTTTGGTGTAGATTTTGTAGGACTCCTTCAAGTTGTGAGAAGACACCCAGAGGGGCATGATCTAAAGGAGGATCCAGTTCGGAAAGTCAAGAGAATCTAATTCTCATTTGCGACGTGCCAACCATTTTAAAAACGATAGGCAAGCTCTCAATTTTTCTACATCAGATTCACGATAAAAACGATACTAATAATTCACTCTGAGAATGGAGACATAATGTATCAAATCATGTTTGATAATTTTGGATTTCTATTTTAAAATCTTTACTTCATCTATTGTTTTGACATCAGATATTATTAGCCTCTTAAATAAATTAAGCTTTACAAGTCTGAGACAATCATGATAGAATTCTTTATTTTCCTTTACATGTTTCCCCAATCTTTCCATGCAACATTCTTGACAGCTAATCCAATAAGATAATTCAAAGTGAGCAAAACTCTGCAGTTGATTCCAGATAGAGTAATTTATTGCTCATTCAGAGGCTGTATGATGCTTTATGGCTTTTAAGTTGGCAAGCTTTGTGGAAGCTTTCCACTTCCATCTTTTTCATCTGCTTTCCCAATTCTCTGTTGTGAATGTGGGAATCTTTTTTGGTGTGCCTCATTGTCCAGCATTTAGAAATAGGACCGAGGACTGGTTGACTTGTTATGGTGGATGTGGTGTCACTGTGAAGGCATGAGAATCTCATCATGCATTAGGCCTACTCCATCTTGTTTGTCTAGTCAACACTGGATGTTTGGTAGTATTCAGGAATATGTGGAAGAAAATTTGAGTTGGTTTGTAAAGCTTGATGAGTCTTAGGCTTAAGGATTTTAAATCAGTGGTTTAAACTTATGAAGTTAATTGAGTCTGTTCTCATCCCTGTCTATTATTTGGATATATATAGTAAAGAACTCGAATCCGAATAAGAAAGGATTATCGCTAGTCAGATATATTAAACCGAGATGTTGTAATACCTCAGTTTAATTCATGTAAGAAGTGGAAAAAGGTTTGGGTGTTACTTATCTAATTGAGATCACAAAAAGAAGCCTAAAGCATGCAATTTAACAAGTAAATACTGAAGAAGAAGAACAACACTAGTTTTGTGAAGAAGATGCAACTCTCCAAATCCCAGTCTTTCATGAGATTTGCATCCAGCAGACACAGGAGAAGGCTACTTTGTTGTAATTTATTTGAATTTATTGGAAGAAGAAGAAAGTTCATAAAATGAAAGTTTTACTGGATGATGTCCAAAGTTCCACAGAAATCTCATCTAGTTTGAGGTCCTGCAATTTCTTGAGACTCAGTTTTCCTGTCCACAGTATATCATGATGCATCACAAGATTCACAGACATGACCTGCAGATATGCTTTCTAGTTTCTTCACTTTGTTATTAGGATTGTATTTATTACATATGACTGAGCCCTTTGAATGCTTAGTGACAGTGTAAATTACCTAAATGAAGCCACAGGCACAGTAAGAGCAGCATCGGACATCATAAATTTCTGTACATCTTTATCTGTACATGTTCTTTACAGCCTAAATAGTGTCTATTTACAGAGGCAAATTAAACACATCCTTTCATCAACTTCAGCATACAGTTTGGTTCCTGGATCCATATCCAAGTTTCGAGGGCGAACTGGAACTCTCGACAGGAGGGTGGTGCTGTGCCAAAGTTTCTTGTATCAGCTAACCATTTAGAATTTTGTTTGGTGTCATATCTATCATGAATCATCATGAGTAGGAGGATCCAACCAGCCAAAAGCTCTGAAAGGAAGCCTTGAAGAGATTCCCAAAGAGGAAACCGGCAGCACCGGCAACTTCAGGAGACTTTGAAGCAAGAAGAGGATTCTGCTTCAACCTCACAATCATGTGCCCGAGCTGCCTACTTATTGAATCTATTGTCTTGGCTTCCACAGGATTGCCTGACATCTCTGAAAGAAAGAAAGTGTCAAATGCTTTTCCATCCTCAGTCGAAATTTCTGCCCTTGTAATTGTCAAGCCATTTTCTCGGAATATCCTTGTAATATCCGAAAGCAATCCGATTCTGTCTTCTGTCCTCAGCACCAACTCCAATCCCTGAACTTGACCAAACAATGATACTGGTGAGAAAAATGCCGAGGACGAAGCGATTGGAAGTAGGTGATACCTCTGTAGCTCTTCTCTCGATGGCTGCCTCGAGGCAATCGATCACACGTTGTCGTTCGGCCTCTGAACTTATGGGGTGCCCGTCAACATGTCTGATGTAGTATTCCTGAGATTGGATTGGCACCAAAAAGCTCAGAATGCATCAAATGGCACGGATTGCATCGAGGTGAATGACTCGGAGAGAACTAAGTATCATTACCTGATAAGCTTCTTCCTCTCCTGAGTCAACCGTGCCATGATGCACAACATATTGCATATCTGTGAGCGTGCAAAGAGTATCAAAGAGAAGCTTCGGTCGGTCTTTCGACCTCATGATGACTACAGAATAATCCTTCTCGGAGCAGTCCATCACAGCAACCTGAGGCCATGATTTATCGTCTCCTTGTGTCGCACCAATTCTCTCGTAGTCTCGATTGCTGAACATCATCTGATGCAACCTCCTCTCGGTGTGAGTGTGTCCCATTGAGACCGTCATACTCGCGGTCCTCGAGCCCTTGAGAACATTGCAGAGGAGCTCTTTGATCATGGAGAGTTTCTCGGGGTCCTCAACTGCTCTCCTGGTCGACTCATCGGTGACACGAACCACCGCTGCAACCCTGGCGTTGTGAGTCCATAACTCAGCTCTCACCACATTACACTTGCTGTTTGCAAGCACAGCACATATTTCAGATAGCAAGCCGGGCCTGTCTGTGCCAGTCAGCTCGACGAAGGTGTGCTCATTCGATGGCATCACACCAGCTGAACTCCTGAGTTTGGGGAAGAAGCAAGCATCCGATCCTAAGGACTGCAGAAATACCCAGACAGACAAAAACATCAGATTGCGATGAAGAATTAAAAGTTCTTGAGTTCATAGGTGGGAACAAAAGCTAAGGCAAACCAGAATGATGAACCGGCCAATTAAAAGCTAGAACAAGTAAAGATTATGGTTACCTTTTGTATGTAAGAGACGATCTCTTCGTCCCATATTTTATTCCCATCTCTATCGGTCACATTAAATACTGAAACCATGAAAGAAAGTGAAGAATTCAGCACAGGAATTACCACCGAGGATTGCAGTCTTGCAATCTGTTTCTGTTTATTTCGATTCATAGGCACTGCGAGATCTTACCATCCATAAACCAACTTCCATCCGAAGAAATATAAGCCTTCGTGATTACAAGGTTCAGATCAGTGAGGACTTGAACCACCTCTAGCAGAATCCCATGCTTGTTAACACTATCCACCTAAAAGAAGGGGAGACAGCAGATATCAGAAATGAGCCCAGAGACTACTCGTGCAGTCACAGAAGAAGAACAAATGTTCTTGAAGCATGGCTGAATTCAGCATAAATCTCTCGAGAAAAAGCTCATGCTTACCCGAATAACAGTAGCGTGATCACAGGCATCATTATCTATCACGACCCTGCACCCAAAAAATTAGTTGTCATTTTGAGAGAGAAAGCGATTAATGAATTATTTAGTGTTCGAAAGAAATGAAACTGGTGATGGAAAGGGAGAGATGTAAAGCACCAAACCAAGGATATTTCTAATCACAAGTCAATAAAATTGAGCACAAGATCCAGAGAAAGATACAAAGCAAACAAAGATGTAAAATGATTACTTATTAAAAGTGCTCGTACTCGATTCAATGCTAAAAAAGGGAAAAGGAAGCATCTAATCCCATTCAGAACATTCAAAATGAATCCAAGTAAACTGTACATGATTGGACAAATTATAAGAGGAAAAAAGCAACAAGTCAGACAATGGAAGATTTCAGCCGCATATCTTAATCCACAGGTGCCAGCCCATGTAACACGAGAGAACCAACCTTTGAATCTCAGATGAGCATCAAACTATAAATGATAAACCCTACTCGGAAGCTCAGAAGACAGCAGCCTACACCTCTGACCAACACAGAGACCCAGCTCAAGCACCACTAAAAGAGAAGAAGAAAGAGAAAGAGTTGGCACAGCACGCTGCTACCTTGGTGGGTTCATCCTCCTGACGAGCTTGGCATACTCATCATCATCCACATCCACCACCTGACAGCTCCCCGTCATCCTTCAACAGCTCTCTGTATCGCAAGCCCAAAGGAGTAGACCGCGTCCAAAAGTGGGAGAGACTCCCTGCTCTGCTCCTACTTCGATTTTAGATTTATAGATCGGCAGAGGAAGGGAGGGAGGAGGTGGATAAAGTTGAGTGACGTTTCACTTGTTGATTGGATACAGAAACTGTTTGCTGTAACGGAGGAGGGAGTCATTTGGTGTGCGTTTGGCGCCGCAGCCGCAGCCGCCGCCGCAATGGGAAAAGACCACGGCATCAACAATGCTTCGTGGGAAAGGGAAAAGATCTCTTCTTTTGTATAAGAGATCATGTGCTGGAACAAAAAGTGTTGGTCGATGAGGTCCATCAGATGTTGCTTCTTCTCCATCGTAAGTCGTCACCGTTGCTTTCCCCGACTGCGGATGGAACCTTTGTGGTCACTCTAAGGACCACTCGAGCAATACCACCACCACTCTAAGGTTGCCTTCGAGGAGGATAAAGTTAGGAATCAGAAGATATTTCCACCGGCATTTAGGGATCAGAGGTATTGCCCCAACCACTAGAATCTTATGATCATAAAACTCTCCACATCACCACTTTTCTTGTGGGGGAAAGGTGACCATCAACCACACCATCAAGAAATTGGAGTTGGCACGTCACACAAACCATTAATCCCATGATGCAATGATTAGGACAAACAAAGACAACTTTTAACAATTTTCGAGTAATGTAATCATAAAATAGGTATTAACAATTGAAAGAGGGGATGTAAGTGTGACCGTTTATTAGTTGGTCACTAATCATATCCAATGCGTACGTAAAGAGGATTAATGTCATAAATTAAATTTATTATATGTATGTGATATAATTATCGATAACATGTCACAAAGTTATTTTAAATCATAATTAATGAAATTTTTGATAAATTAGCTCTTCAAACTTCTTACCCTATCCTCTTATCCCATATCACCAGCATCATCACCATTACTGTCACTGTCGCATCAATACCACCTCATCCTCGGCACACCGAAATATATTCGGATGGACTCACCATGGGCCCCAGTGATATCTGCACGTATTTCAAGGTGGTTCAAATGAAGATGAGAAGCTTTTTTTCTCTCTCTCTCTCTCTCTCTCTCTCTCTCTCTCTCTCTCCGCCAACCACAAGTGACTCGATACGGACCACAGGTTCTAATTAAAGAGATTTTTATTAGTGTTATTTTATTTTTGATGTATTAGTGGAGATCACAGGAGGAAGGAATAGCAAGTAATGGACAAACATTGTGAATTTAGTGAAACATTCATGTATTGGATAGGAATCCAAGTAGCTTAAACAGCTCAATTCTTGCCTCTTAGAATAATTGGGTAAGGAATAGACAAAAACAAAATGGGGAAGAAGAATGGGGCTTTCAAGAAGAATATTTTAGGGGTTAGCTTGGGTGATATTATATATATATATATATATATATATATATATATATATATATATATAAAATTCTATATCAAG